AATGTACAAATAGCTTATTCCAAAAAAAATTCCGAAGAAATTTTTTACTGTCAAACGGTGCAAAACTTGAAAAATGGAAAACATTTTCCAAATTCCATGAAAAATATTGCCCATCAAACATGGTCTTATTTTCTTATTTTTTCTTTATTTATATGTATAAACAAAATAAATAGAGAAACATAGTTGTGCCCAAATGAGCACGGGCGTCAGACCCATGTGCCATGCCTAGCTATTTGTCTAGTAAGGTCACATATACATCAATGTTCATGGCCAGACCAAAAACTCTTTTTTTGTCCTTTTCAATTGTACATTCTTTCAATAAATAATTTTGCACGTGAATTCATAATATTTTCTTACTATTTAACCATACATTATTTAAAGAACTTTTTACTAAACCTATTATCAAATAACCTCTACCAAATAAGCACTTAATATAAACGTGGTACGATTTTGGACAGTTTATTACAAATTTTCAAATATCAACATCCACATAGGAGCTAACGGCTAGGCACAGTGGTGAATAGTGTGGAAGTCGATTGATTTAATTGCTTGAGCGACCTAAACAATATCTATGAAAAAAATAAAATGAGTGACCAAACCTTGGAATTACCTAAAATAAAGTGGATTAATAAATTCTACTTTGTCATCCCAAAATAAAGATTGATGGAGAAACATCATAAGACAAAAAAAAAAAAAAAAGCATAAGATTTGGAGGGAGAGGGAGAACAATAAAAGCCCCCCTTTGTAGGAGGCAAGTGTGTGGGAGAAAGGCCTAAACCTTTGCAAGATAGAAAAAATTACAATATTGCAATGTCTTTTCTCTCTCTAAACTTTGCAGACCCTTTAAACAAGCCTTCATTCAGGTACATTTCTCTCTCTAAACAATGCATCATAGGATTAATCAAATCATATGTTGTTTGTGTTTAAGGATGTTTTGTTTTGGAACAAAGAAAGAGGATTGAATGTTTATGTGTGCATGTATATATTGTTCGATGTATGACTTGTTTTGTATAATCTGGGAATTTATGTATTCAGGTACATTTCTCTCTCATTATAGGATTAATCGAATCATCTGTTTCTAGAAATTAAGAATTTTTTTGTGATTTAAGATGTCATGTTATGTATACATATTTGTTTTGTATAATCTTGGATTACGTGTATTTAGGTGCAGTGATTTGCCGTGGCGAGCAGTTTCCGGGGAGAAAGTTTGAGTTTCCGACCTATTTCTTGATCGGAACCTTTGCCGGAAAACCATATTGAAAAATGGCATCCTCTCCTGAGGCTGCTACACCACAAGATCCTAATAAAAATTCTCCACCACCACCTTCAATGGATGATTTATCACTACCTCCAGATTCATCTTCTCCGGCACCAACGGACAATTCACTTCCACCTCCTGATGATACCCCACCACCAACTAATGCTTCCCCACCACCACCACCACCACCACAACGACCTCCTTCACCACCCCTACCACCAAAAGAATCTCCCTCAGAACCAACCCCTTCAACACCTGAAAAACACAAATCACCACCACCCAATGGATTGCCTTCTCCTCCAACATCAACGCCTACAAATCCAGCTCCTCCGGGATCTCCTCCGACACATGCCTTATCTCCACCATCACATCACTCGCCATCACAAAAGTCGCCATCATCTGATTCCTCAACCTCTGATGATGGTGGTTCGTCGCCATCATCTGATTCCTCTTCTTCAAGTGTACCAAGGATTACCGGGATTGTCATTGGGGGTGTATTCTTGTTTGCCTTATTCGCCATTTGCCTAGTATGTTCAAGGAGGAAGAAGAAACGGCCATACTATCCTGCACATCTAGGCAAAGGTGCAATTTCTCATTTTATATTTCAACTCGGCTTGATTTCTGATATACTATGTCAAACTAGACTCAGTTTAAAATGTAAAGAAGGAACTTTTACTTATTTTATTTAGTTTAGTTTGCAACATTTCTTGTAAGTTGTTCGTTATGTTTATTGTGTGAAATTCCTCGGTTCTATGTACATCGGTTTTTTGCTTTCAGGTGGTGACAAGTACTGCAATGGCAACTCAGACTGGAATAGTCCTAAACCTATTGACCACGTTATTAAGCTTCATCCACCACCAGGTGTTATGGGGACACCAGTAGGTGGTGCTGGCGGATGGGGAGCACCACCACCACTGGGAAACTCTAGTAGTGATTTTAGCTCCGGGCAACACCATACGCCTATACAGTCTCCATCACCTAATATGGGCATTGGTGGCTTTTCCCAGAGCCAATTCACTTATGATGAACTTGCAGCAGCATCGGGGGGATTTTCTCAAGCCAACTTGTTAGGACAAGGTGGATTCGGGTATGTATACAAAGGTATTTTACAGAATGGAAGGGCAGTCGCAATTAAGAGTCTCAAGGCAGGCAGTGGACAGGGAGAACGAGAATTCCAGGCTGAGGTTGAAATCATTAGCCGTGTCCATCATCGCCACCTCGTGTCCCTTGTTGGATATTGCATTGCTGATGGACAGAGAATGTTGGTGTATGAATTTGTTCCCAATTCAACGTTGGAATTCCATCTTTACGGTAAGTTCTATTCTACTATATCACCAAATCACTAAATTCTGTCATGTTTCCTCTTTGTCCTTGAGACGGAATTGAACTTCTATAGATGACATGGGCTCATATAACTCTTTCAGCTGCATAATGTCATCTTTTACTTGTGAAATTTGTTGTTACAGGGAATGGTCAGCCAGTGATGGATTGGGCGACTAGGCTTCGTATAGCAGTGGGATCGGCTAAGGGGCTTGCTTATCTGCATGAAGACTGTATAGAATTCTGCCCCTCCCTTCTGTTTTTATTAATACATAAATTGTGAGGAACATTTCTTGATACGTCTTTCAGTTCAGGCCACCCTCGGATTATCCACCGTGACATCAAGGCAGCAAATATCCTTCTTGACAACAATTTTGAAGCCATGGTAATATATATGAAGTACTATTGTCATATTTTGTATGCTACATGATTAAGAAAGAAAACGAAGTTCAACACTTGTCTGTTATATAGCTTCTAAGGATCATTATTGAGCAAGTTAAATTGATTGATCCAGGTGGCAGATTTTGGATTGGCCAAGCTCTCTTCGGATAATTTTACTCACGTTTCCACGCGTGTCATGGGAACTTTTGGGTACAACATACTTAGCTGATACTCACTCAAATTGTCTGAGTTGAACGCTGATGTGATTTTCTTCTGCTTTAGAAGCAAAAAAGGGGCATTTATAGTCTGAAAACGGTATGTTTGTTGAAATTCAGGTACCTAGCTCCCGAGTACGCGTCAAGTGGCAAACTAAGTGAAAAATCTGATGTTTTCTCATTCGGGGTGATGCTCTTGGAGCTCATAACTGGGCGCCGACCTGTGGATCTTACGAATAGAATAATGGAAGATAGCTTAGTAGACTGGGTTTGTTCTTGATTCTGCTTTTAGCACTTCTCATGAAATATTTTTTAATTGACATAAGAAAAAAATATGTTTCTTAAGGTTTTCCCCTTTTTGTCATCTTCCTCGATCCAATTTATTTCGGCAATATGCAGGCTACGCCACTTCTGGCTCAAGCATTGGAAGATGGAAACTATGATGAGCTTGTGGAGCCACGCCTTGAAGGTAACTTCGTTCCCCAGGAGATGGCTCGAATGGTAGCATGTGCTGCTGCTAGCATACGCCATTCAGCCAGAAGGCGACCACGGATGAGCCAGGTAAACTGTTCTGTTGGATTGAAGATCAAAGCTTATTTTAATTTAAACCTATCAAATATACTTTTTAACCACACAATTCGTTGGATCCACAATTACTGTCAATTTATTATTTCATATTTTGTAGGACCCACGAATTATAGGCACTTAAAATTATTACCAAACAATCACGAAGATAATAGTCCTATCTATATAAAAGGCATGCGGTCAATTGATTACAGGACGTTCCCTTTTTAACGTTGACGTTGTAAAAACTATGTCAGATTGCACGTGCTTTGGAAGGAAACTCATCCCTCGAGGACTTAAGTGAAGGCGTGAAGTCCTCAGGCCAGAGTGCAGTCCATAAAAGTAGCAGAACCAGTAGTGATATGTACGACACTCGTGCATACAATGCAGATATGACGAAGTTCAGGAAGATGGTGATTTCAAACCCGGATAATGCAAGCAGCGAATACGGAGCAACAAGCGAGTACGGGCTCAATCCATCCTCATCAAGCTGCGACTCCAGAGAGCTTGACGAAACAGGTCCCCACAAGCAAAAATCTTAGAGCAATACACGACGCTACCAAGCTTAAGTGCATGTTCCATACTCAATATTAGATCGTATGGAGCAGTACGATATTCAAACAAAAGCTAGATGCAAATTGATATCGTTTTACCGCTAATCTTCATTTATTCTTGGGTTCATGTTCAATATGCACATACATGAAGTTGGATTTGCCTTCGTTTTATTGTAAAACTTCGGTGTAATATAATTCTAGATGCTATGTGACTTTAAAGATAATTCAAATCATTTTGTTGTCATTAGTGTGATATGAAGGGATTAACAATTTTTTTCATAATATCAGATGTGCATTTTTTAAAATATTGTGAAAATTTGTCCATTCTACGTGTGGAAGTGGTTTTTTTTTAACGTTAAAATTGTACCTGAAGTGGAATGTTAACTTAACTATCGCAAGATTTGAATTGTTTCTAAAGTAAGAAGTGATAGATAATTCAAACTACATTCCAGTTCAGAATGTCAACAAATTGAAGTTTTCAACTTAACTGCTTGCTTCATTTATTTTAACATGCAAAAATAATATAAATATACGAACTCACAGTTGTCACAAGAGATTTGCTACACGCATGACACTCCCGTCTGCACGATTATTTTATTGCGTGTACACGGGAGTGTTTTACATTTAGGGTGTGTTCAGTAAAAATTAAAATCGGATTAAAATTGAAAAGCTGGCTGTTATTGTAATTTTTATTAGACGAGTGAGATCAATAACGGCTATATTTTCAATTTTAATTGGATTTTACGTACTATCGAACACGCCCTTAGCATTTTTCTTGTCACAAACCCGAGCCAATTAAATCCACATTATCTTCTCTAGTCAATTTTACTCCTCCTAGTGCTCAAAGTTATGAACAATTGTCTTCGAGGATTTTGCTCCTATCGATATAGTACCTCAATCGTTCAAAAACCGGTGAACACAACTTCAATCTTAACCACTGAACTTTGACACGAATAATTTTTTTTACACAGAAGTAGAGATTTAGTTTTTCAAAAATAGACAGAGTAAATCAACTCATAAACAATGTTCAAGATCTAGTTATACTTGCTAGCTTTTTTCTATGTCAATGTTAACAATTCAATTCTTCTAACGATAAACATAATCCGAAGCATAGAGCTATGACGGGATTAGACCCGAAGGAACAAAATGTTGAATGACATTTCATTGGCCTTGGGAGAATTTTCATTGGCATGTAAATGAATGTTGAAGGCATGTTTTAGCAAGAGCAAATTCTATAAAGGGTAATTGAAGAAATTACAAATTTATGTTGGGTAATTCGCTAATTGCCATGCCATGTTGTAAAAATGAATTGTTGATACCTATTCAGAACACTAAAATGCAGGAAGTTAAGTATACTTATCGAACGATTGAGACTCGGGATGACATGATATCTTGAAATAAAATTACCGATTGTTAAGTTTTGCGGCCTTTTTGGATAGTGAGTTCACTAAACAACAATCAAATCACTTGTTCAAAAATAATAGGCAATTTTCAAAAACTCTCAAGTTTACTCCGAAACATTATCCCAACAAAATAACTCTAAAATTAAACTTAGGATCCACACAAGGAAAAGCACATGCCATTCATTCGTTATTAGCAACATCTTGAAAATGTCAAGAAAGGATTTCTCTTCAAATCAATAAAGTTTTGCAATAAAAAAAGGATCAAGAAGTGGTAGTAAAGTCGGGGATTCGCGATAACATTTGTAGGGTATTTGACTTGTAAATAGACCTTTATTAACTTCTAAAATATCTTTTAGGTCATGGCCAATGCCCCAGTTAGTTCTGTTGAAGATATGGAAAGAATAATCTCTATAATATTTTTTCAATAGTGTA